ATCAACATTAAAGACCGAGATTGTCTCATGATTATCTTTTTCTGTGTGTGTGTATCAGAAAAGAATAATAATGTGCAAGAAGGCTACTTCTAAATTTCAAGAAAAGTGTATACAAGGGCAGCATTATTCTTTGAAATTCTGAAAAACAATGACCTGTAAATTTACTAGCTTCAGGTAATATTTGGGATTTTGGGATATTCTTGGATGACTTTTTCAAAGTCCTCCATATTTGGCCTTTGACTATTTCTTATGCTCCCCCCATTTTCTTACAAGAAATAACCGAATTACCTTATTCACTAGATTTATTCCTATATAGCTGCTTGACATTCCTTAGGAATTTTAAAAATCTCTTTCTCTCTCTTTAAAATGTCGCCCAGAGAACATGTAATGAGAAAACGTAGAGGGCTGAGATCCACATGGGGCCGGGGGTGGAGGTTAGGCTGTGGTGCACCAGTATTTTGTGCAGAATAAATCAGCCAAGAAGCCCAAAAAGAGGTGCATCATCTCATAACATTAGGATAAAAACAGAAAAACGATTGTGGTGTGAATTAAAAGCCCCATAACTGTGATCAGCCAAGCACAAGGGTGTATGTGCTGCAGTGAGCTGAGGAGGGTATTGAGCTTGGATCTCATAGATTGTGCTTTGACAGGTTTCCTTCAGCTTCTATAGCTAATCCCTAGTACTGTACATTTGCACACCTAGTTTTACAGGGAACCAAGCTCTTTAGTAAGGGCAGAGTCTTGTCTTGACTAGATTTTATGGCTCAGGCTGGCCTGGTTTGCATTACTGAGAGGATGGCAAGACCCTAAATGACCATGAGGTCTCCATAACCCAGGCCAGGGAGAGGCTTCCTAACCTGGAGGTAATAGCGAGTCACTGCAGCTGGTCTGGGGTTTGAGGCGTAAGGCAGAGCCCAGTGCCCTCTGCAGGGAGCCTGCTCGGTTCAGTCCCACTGCCTTTCTCTTATGTTAACTTAACCTCCTTTCTTATTTGGTTCATTTGCACTTTTCATTTTTGGATCAAATTTGCTATTGGTTTATCAATATTCAAAGAAAAACTGTATTGATTTTATTATAAATTGCAGTGAAATTTCACTTGCCAGTTTTCTTTAAAAACTTTTTTCATTTCTTTTCTTTCCTTTTGCATTTTCCTTTCACAGTTTTTGTGGAATCTTTTTGAAGTATAGTTAAGTTAGTTAATTTTTACTTTTCTCATTGAAATAAATGTTTCTGAAACATTTTCCTTTAAGAACTACTCTCTTTCTGGTGGTAGTCCAGATTTAATAAATAGCATATTTTTCAACATCACTCATTTAAAAAAATTGTTCCTGTTATATTCCTTAATTCTTGCCAGTACAATTATAATTAGAGTCATATTTAAAATGTTCCAAATGGTGACAGTTTGTGTTTTGCTTCTATTTTTCTTATTTAATTTTATTTTCATTGCCTCGTGGTCAGCAGTGGTCAGCAATGTGGTCTAGAAACATTCCTCCTCTGTGGAGGGAACTTACTGAGTTCTTGTGCACAGAACGCCTGGCATCTCTCACCCACAACCATATTGTCTACCTTACCATTCTTCGTACTAATAGAGTTTAGACCTGTTTAAGCAGCCATGATTGGGCAGGATTAACTTGGTGCCTCTGCTCTATTCTCAAATGGTATAGTAAAATCTAAATTCTTAAACTCATGTGTCCAACGTCAACTTCAGCTCTTAAACAGAGGTGAACATATATGCTGAAATGTGTGGCATAAGGAAGGTGGATCAATGGGGGGCAGGAAGTCTGCGAGGGATCAATTACACTATTGGATTTTATAGGGGTCATGAGCTCTCAATCCAACAGGCAGACAGATTCCATTTTCAAAAGCCTGTTTTCAGATCTGCTGACTGCTGATGTCAAAGTATGGGTGCAGGATTAGTCCGGGAGTCTGAACTCTGTAAGCTATTTTGAACTGCTTTTATTAGTTTGTAACAATGACATAAACAAGCACATGGACATTTTAAGAACTATCTTTTCTTCATAAGGTTTACTCTAGCTCAGAAATGGCTTTGAGAACTGGTACAAAAATATAAAGTCATGAGCAGGGCAACTGGACTATCTAGGGGAAGACATTTCTCTTTCAAGTGCTAAGGTGATCCTGTCATCATACCCTGTCACCACCACGCAACTCCTATCAGAGTGCAGCAGGATGCTGGAATATAAACCGAAGTGACACTGATACAAGAGAATCTGATTAGCCCAAAGAGTTGCAAATTCTCAACTGAATTTTCATAAGCTGATTACTATTTCACCATGGGACGCTACCCTATGCAGTAGCATCGAACATTACTGAAATTTTCAAATATGGCATTAACTCTTTCTATATTATTTTTTCTACCCATGTTAAAGGTCAGATAACCTACCAAGGTTAAAGGTCAGATAGTCTTCTTTGGCAAATAGAATCCCACATTCTTTTCTGTTTCATTTGGGCATTAATACACCTGGAGGTACTGGCTAAAGGGAATCTCTATGTCATAATCTCTCCCTTTTGTGCCAACTACAATCTATACTCTTACTTCAGCTTAGAAATACTCCCTCAGGAACAGAACTGTAGAACTGGAGATTTAGGACTAGAAGAAGACTTACAGGTTCTTTGGGCAAAGTTCTTCATTTTATAGATGAGAAGACTGAAGCACATGTCCCAGAGAATTATTGTTGAGCATTCACTGAATTAAAATTTGTGAAGGACTTGGAACAGTGTTCGCACAAACTGTATATGTCAAAGTAGTTAAGTGACCTGTCTGAAGGCCCAAAGCCCAGCAGTGGAGCTGTGATTATGACTCAGATGCCTGGACTGATGATTCAGTCAGTAGCTACTGCGTGCATCATTTCGCTTCCTCTACCTCTCTGAAACAATCCATTTTACAGCAGTGCTTTTATTCTGAAGGATGATCTGAAGGGAGTAGAAGGCAACCAATCAAAGACACAAGTGAGGGTGGATATAGAGATAAGGTGATAAAATAATTATTTTAAATCTGAAAGATGAGTACAAAATGTGAAAGGATCTCAGAGGTCAAAAATTACGCTGTGAGTTGGGATAGCTTTAGGCTGCACAGAACCATGTGTATTTAATACCTATTCACTCCTTGGTACTAGCTCTTCCCATTTGGTTATCTTGATATGTGCCTGATAAATAAAGATAAAATAAATAAAATAAGCAGCCTTCCCCTGAGAAACTCATCACCTAATTCAAAGAGACAGACATGTGAATGAAGCAGAATTCAGTGTGGTAAATACTCTGCAGGTATTTACACAGTAGGGGTACACAGAGGATGGAATGTATGTTCTTATACTTTCCTAGAGGCAGTGAGATCTGGTCAGAGTGAGAGAATGTAGTGTGTAAAGAACATGCCAAGGAAAATGCCGTTATCTGCTGCCTGGGTTGCTTTTGGACAGAGATAAAGACAGTGTTCCTGTGCTCGAGTGCTTGGTCATGTCTATGCCAGTGCTAGAAGCACGGAGAGCCCAGGAAACAACTGGGCCACAGGCCTGGGGCTTCCATAACGTTTAACCAATTTCTGTTAACATTAGAGAATGAGGGCCTTACCCAAGCAGACAGGGGCATTTGGAAATTTCTATAAGGAGTGAATACTTTGTGAAACAGGGAACCCAAAAGCAGTCTTGCTCTTCTAGCAAGGGAGCACATTCATGTTGCAGATGTTTCTTCCTTTTACAGGTTTCCTTTGACCTCCTTCCCTAGTGTCCGAATTAACCTGAGGGTGATTCCAACTCCTTCCCCCAGATGCCCAGGACCAGGGGCACTGACATCAACTGGTTAGAGCAAAGCCATAGGCAGGTTCCTTTAACCGAGGTAAAGGGCAGTGAAAGCAGCAGACCCTACCCTTCCATAGCCTGACTTCAAAACACACCTGCCTAACTGGGAAAACAATCGGATTTTATTTCCTGAGGTCTGACGTCACAGGTGCTGGGGGCTGAGCTAGCAGAGACTGAGGAGAATAAGAAGGGGAGTGAGAGAGAAGGGGCGTCAGGCCTGAGGGGCTGCAGTGGACTTGAGTGCCACCAGGATGCTGTGACTCAGTTACACCAGGAGAGTCTCAGAGAGGGCAGGCGATAAAACAGCCCCTGCTAAAACGACCTTGCCTCCTTTGTCAGTTCTAGCTGCCAGGTAACCCAGGGGCAGGACCTGCCATCCTGAAAACACACTGAGTGAATGCAACAGTAGAAGGCAAAAGGTCAAAGTCATGATCCTGGGGGCCAGTGGTTGACACCAGATCACCTGTGAGGGCCTGAGGATGCCAGGAAGCAAGCAGTCTTCCTTGTTCTGTCTACCTTTATCAGCAAGTTGGAAAAAAGGTGTCCCTTAAGGGGGGCTTCAATCTTCTAACAGCCATAACAACAAAATGACAGAACACAGTGTGACAGCTGGAAGGGCCCTTAGAGATTGGCTTCTCTAAATCTACCTACGTTCACAGAGAAGGAAACTGAAGCCCAGATGGGTGGACAGGCTGTGTGAGGGTCCAGCGATCATGCCAGAGTCTGTGTTTGTGCCATGTCTCTAGGCCCCCATCCCGAGCTCGTCTGGCCAAGTCCAGCAGCTCTGATCTCCTGAAGGGCCTCCTGTCCTATCTCACCTCATTACACTGTGAGGAAAGACATAATGTGTGTCTATAAGATCACCCCTACTTTTCAGATAGGAAAACAGAGGTCAAAGGGGACAAATGGCTAGTCCCACCCAGGTCATGGCTGGTGCTTGAACTGGAATTCAGGTTCTGGGTCCCTGCCTGGTGTTCATCTTACTAAATGCCATGGTTTCCCTTGGGAAGCATCCACAGTCATAGCCCAGGCCTCTCCCGGCTTGTTTCCATCGTACAACAATGGCAAGTCATCCAAAACTGAACCGGATCATCTAAGACAGAGACACCTTCCCTAAAATGCTGCACAGGCCCTGCAGAAAAGACTCCCTGGGGTAAGAGATGAGGGCTGATGGCGGCGAGTCTTTACCTTCAAAAGCCCGTGCAGCGTCCACGAGGTGGGACCAATCTAATCCTGTGGCTGTGTCCGGAAGGGGCATCAGGCCAGGATCTGCGCACTTGGACTTATCCGATAAGGACCCATCGGAGAACCAGAACTCATCTAAACAGAAACAAAACCAGCGCATCAGTCAATCAGAGCATGGGCACCGCTGGCCTCTCCCAGAGTCAGTCAGTCAGAGCACAGGCACCACTGTTCCCTCCCCAAGTAGCCAAGGGAACTTTTCCTGCTCTCAATGAGAAAAGAAAACATGCTGCAATTACCCAAACACATGCACAGCTGGAAAAATGAAGTTTGGAAAAAGCAGCCAAGACTAAAGTAATCAGAGGTTGGCCAGGATGTAAGGACCAGTGGCAGAGAGATGTGAATCGAGCCTCTGACAGTATCGTAACTGCACAAAGATTTTCTTCTGGGAAGGCTTCTCTTGAGTACATCCTGGTCTAACTACTACAGGATAAATTCCTGTTTTCTTCAGGGGTGACTTTTCCCTTTTTAAAAGTGTTGCAGGCTTTACACTGCTGTATAAAAGGTTTGGAGCACTCTCTATCCTGATGATAAAGAGCTTACCGAGGAACACAGTTATCTAAGCTGCGCACTGCACATTTGAGATGCCTCCAAGGCCAATTTGTTATAAAAATGCAGAAAGACTAACTTTGTTTTTATGAACGGATGAAAGAGAAGACGTTATTTCATATGCTATGCACAAAAATGGTGGTTGGATTGCTTTTCTGACGTAGTAAGAGTTATATCAATGGCTGAACCAGAAACCACTCGCCCATCCTGCACTGAATGTTCACAGTTGTCCTTCGGCTACAAATGGACCTTTTCCATTTCTTTTTCTCCTTAAACTCTCATCATGGTACTTTAAGTGTTTATGTCATTAATAATACTAGTTAAGAACTCATTATGCATCTGAGAACAAGTTCTGAAAAGGCTTCAATTGGACTTTCTTTAATGTGCCTTTCCTGAACCTGCCCAGAATGCTGCATGCAGCTGCTTGTGAACACATCTGACTAATTAGACCAATCAAAATAATGACCACCTGGCTGTCTGAGCCTGCAATTAAGTTAAGTAAAGGGCATAATTAACCAAATGCACCTGTAATTTTTTTGTTCCCACATCCTTTTGGGTAGCTGTGAAATGCTGGCATCTGGACTAAGACAGATAGCATTTCTAAATTTGGCCTTAAGGGAGACCAACAGACTTTTCACACCCTTGACAAATGCATCTCTTAAAAGACCTCTAACAGTTACAGCTAAGCCAACCAAACCCCTATTCTCAATGCTACCACCTTTCCTTTAGAAGATGGGTAATGTTGCACTGATTTATTCCCAGCCTCCATTTTGAAGAGAACCCAGTAATAGATGTATTGTCCACATTGTTTCCACAACTCTGCCTTCTCCACGTGCTCTTCTTTGAAACAACAATGGTTCTTGCTTGTTCTATTTGTTCGACATATGATGTGCCCAGTCCTTGCCAAGGGGGTAAACCAGGAAAGGATGGGAGCAGCCACGCAGGAACTGGGAAGGAGGAAGGCACAGGAGCAGCCTCTCTCCATGCTGACCACAGACTGCGCTGAACTGGCTCTCAGGTGCCGTCTTTGACCAGAAGTTTAAGATTCAACCGTTAAGCAGAAAGGTAAGGAAGCCCAGGGAACTTCATTCACTTATGTATCACTTCCTTGTCTCTCCAACACACATGCTGCATTGCTCAAGGCAGGTTTTCTACACCAAGAGTAAAGAAATTATATAACTAGGTGGCAATTACTTCTGCCACTGATTTCCACATGGCCAAGCTCTTCAGGAAAATTGTGCAAGAGTGGTACAGTTCTATGAGGGGTGGAGGGGCCAGGCTGGCTGGGACCTGGGCCCACTGGTGCACTCCCCTCTCCTTCCCTCACTGTAGAGGGAAAAAGCACAGAATGGAATGGAAACTTTATTGAGGTATATGAACAGTTCTACAGAAAGTACATTCTGTTCATCAGTTTTACTAAGAAATGCCAGCTGGTGGGTTTTCTTTGCCTTTATAAAGGAATAATCCATCACTCCAGCTTTGGCATTCTTGAAGGCTAAAACCAAACCTAATGCACATTCTGTGTGCTGTCTACTTTGCTCCCTAATACCACCAGACAACAAGGTCCTTAGTGGCTCTAAAAGCAGCTAGGTAGACAGAAAAAATGATGGAGGGGACAAGAAGGGCAAAATGCAATGAGAATGGAGAGGACAGTGGCTGGTCCCCCAACTCAGAAGATGGGGTGTGAGGCCAATGTCCCTTGCTCTGTCTCCCCTTGTCCCTCCTGCAGCTGTGTGCTCAAACAGCCATCTTCCCCAAATACTTGATGGAGTGGTTTCCCGACAGTCTTGGGTTAAGTAATAAAAGCTTTGACTATTCCTAAGCACCCTAAAGTTCCATGACAAGTGGCCATTCATAATTTTGCCAAGGCACAAATCTGAATCTTGGTGGCTGAGAGGCTGATGCCCAAGTGGGCCCACCTGTCCACACAGCAGCCCAGCCAACCAGCTCCAAAGGTCTCTGCCCACCGTCCTGTACACAATGCATGCAGAGACCACGTGCTAAATGACACTGAAGGCTTTGGGATCTGAGGATTTCTCAGGGTGTCCATTTCACAGCCAAATGCAAGCTGAGGCAATGCTGCTCACCACCTCCAATTTTTATGGAGAACCAGGGAGCAAAAGAAAGAACACAGTTTGTGATCTCTCTTCTTTGTTAGAAATTATTGTCCCCCTTCCTCCAGTTGTGAATGGGATTTTCATCTATTCGGTACTGCTGAACTGGCAAAGAGGGCTGGTAAATTAGAAGTCTCCTTTCCTCTAGAGTTTATCTGAGCGCCATCCAGTCCCTGGTCTACCCATGATGAATGTGGTGAGTGAGCACTGCCTGCCATGTGACAGGGGCACAACAGAAGGTAGCACAGACAAGGCTCAGCTCTCACGAAGCTTTACATCATGAAGAGAGAGAGAGGCAATGAATAAACAAGAAAATACAAGTGGTGATAAGTTATTTGTAGAAAATAAAACACCGATGTGACGGCATAGCTTGATGGCACATTTGGAGAAAGCCCGTCCAAGGAGGGGACACTTGGCTGAGACTCAAATGATGAGGACCTGCTTGGTAAAGCGCATAGTTCTGGAATTAAAGCTCTGAAAAAGTATGTATTTAAATCTAAATCTGTCATCTTTCAGTAAGCGGGAAGAGCCCTATATCAATGGCAGGCTCCTTAGATGAATTGAGAGCCACCTTTATTTCTTCCTAAATAATAAAAATAAAAAGCATCTAAATTTCTAAAATTCTATTGGTTGGGAAAATCATATAATTAGAAAAAAAATTACCATCCTTTTTTTGTATGTTTGAGACTCCAAACCAGTAAAAATTCTTTACAATATTTTTATTACTACTACCACCACCCAGATGATATTTACTGAGTACCTGCTATATTCCAGGAAATGCCAGGTGCTACATCAGCACTTAGAGATACAACAACCAGTAAGGCACAGGTTCTGCCCTCGATAAGCAGATGAATTTGTTGGTGGTGGTTTGACAGGGGTTTGGATAAGGTGTCTGTAGTGCAGACCTGAAGGAGGCAAGAGTGACTGATTACCTGTGCTCTGCGATGCCACAGTGGCTGTAACTATATTGTCTCCCCAGTTTTATGGTTTTATAGAAAAGGTACCACTTGCCTTGGGGATCAAAACCTGTTATTTCAAATCCAGAGGAGCCCACACCACTCTTCTGGCCAATTAAGAAAAGAAAGTGACCCCTTCTGTTGGGTGATGGCACCAGCTCACTCCCCAGGAAGCCCAGGAAAGCGGGTGATGCAAGGTTGGGGGGCATATTCGCAGGTTCCCACATCGAGCACGGAGACCTCCAGGGATAACATTAAGCTCCTCATAGAGTGTTTCCTACTGGAAACCTGAACTGACACTGCACATATCATCACATACTTATGCCAGAGGAGACACTGAGTAGAAAATAATATTAACAGTAATTGAAATTATTTTGCATGCATAGCGTTTCTGGGAGTTCTCAGAATGAGTTGAGAAACGGAAGGGAGGAGAGGCCTGCTGTCTAAAAGCATTTCAGGGGCACCGTGGGTAGAGCTATTCTACTTCACCTCTCAAGGACATTTCTCTCTGCTCACAGTTGCTATTGCTCACGATGCCCAGGGACCTAACTCACGCCTATCAAGAGACTCGTGGATTCTGGATGGTGGCTACTCTTGAAGCACTGCTACCTGGGGACCTGCTCTCTAGCCCAGGATATTGATCTAGTGGCTTCCCACCTGTTTACCCAAAATATGAAATCACAGTAACCATCTTTACTGAGTATGGCTTTTATTATAAATGCCAAGGAGCCTTCCTGACAGCATTTCCTGGTGGTTTCACAATTACTCCCCAGAAACCAACAGACATTGATTACAGGGAAGATTGATGACATTTGAGAAAAGAGAAAGAATGTCACATTGAGTAGTCAAAACCATGCCTTTGAGGGTCATGGATACCTGAAATGCTAGCTTTGGCAAGGACTGTTCTTCCAGCGGTGGGTACCTTTTATCACCTACAACACCAGACCATCGAGTCTACACCTGGGGTTTGTAGCAACTCATGCAAGTATTAAATTATAAGTAAAATACTAGTTCTTTTTATTTATTCTACCCCTAAATCCCCCTTTAACTTCAAGGGTCATCCTTTATGAGGTGCATAGGTCAGAACTATAGGATTTGGGACCACACATAAGCTAATATTCTCTGTTCTTTTTTGGAAACTTAAGAATTCTCATTAGTCTTTCCTCATAGGAAGATTTCACCATTCTTTGGAGAGTTTTGATCTCCCCTCCATAAAAACCCAGGAATTCTCTTTAAACTTGTGAGTCTGCCAATGCTTGCGATTATGCCGAATGAACCCAGGTGTCCCATCTGTCAAGGAGGAAAAGGAAATCATGACTGCTTCTCAATGTCACCGGTTATCTGGCCTGTGAATTGTGTCCAAATGGCCACTCTTCCCCCCACCTCCCCAATCTGGGCAATTAAAAGAAATTTTCTTCTGCAATTCCCCAGTGGATGAAGACAAAGGCCCTAAGAGCAATGTGGAAACATTTCAGAAATATTTTCAGTTTCTGGATCAGGTGGTATTTTTATACCTCCTAGCTGAAGACATAAAAATATGGCACATTTCAGTAACTTCGAAGGAAATATACATGAATCATGACATGAATTACACGCAAAATGAGTTTAAGTATCTGTCTCGCAACACTGGATTAAGATCTTGGTTTCAAGAGAATAAAGATTCCAAGACGAGTTCAAATCTAGGCTTTGTAAAAGTTAAAAATATCTGAAAGAGAAGCCTGTGACCATAATAATTACATGTAGAAAAGGTGCAGAGATCAGGTCTTCCAGTATTCACTGTGATGAAGTGGGATGTTACCGGCCTCTGCCCTTGCTACCCTCCCTCTGAATTACGATCTGGACTTGAATGAGTCTCTACTGGTCAAAGATTCTCTCTTAGAAGATCAGATGCTCCCTAGGAATGCTCTAATTTTAAAGTTTAAAAGAAGAATGTGTGTGCCTTCCAAGTTTTTTTGTTTAACTCTATCTGTGCAGTTATTTAAAACCATCCAGAACCAACCTCCATTCCAAGTTTTAACGTGAAGCTACGTCTCTCTGACAAACTAAGAGAAAACTACTGGGTAACTTCAAATATTCCTCATTTCTCACTCAAAGATATCTTCTGGGTATTAGCACTCACATTGCAGCTTGCTGGGTTGTTCCAGTTTCAGACTGTCAAACTACTCTTAAAGAGTAGTCTTCTTAGAGAGGGTCTGCGAATGACCAGAAACCACAGAAAGGGAAGGGTGATCGAAATCTGGCTTAAGTACATTTAATGGTGCGAAAGCAATGCACACTTTGCAGAAATCATATTTCAAATTTTGACTTTTGAACATTTCCCAGGCCAGTGATATGAGGTACAATACTCTTTCTCTGTAATGCTGGGTGGCAGCAGTGATCCCATAGATCTAAAAAGCTCCCAGTCAGCCATTCAATCATGAGGGTAAACAACTGATACTACACAGTGTACTGTGTTGTCAGATGATCTTGCCCAATTGCAGGCTAAGTGTCCTGAGCCCGTTTAAGGTAGGCTAGGCTAAGCTGTGATGCTCGGTAGGTTAGGTGTACTAAATGCATTTTTTACTTAAGACATTTTCAACGTACAATGGGTTTACTGGGATGTAGCCCAGTCGTAAATCAAGGAGCATTTGTAATCACATAGGTGACTGTTGTAGTCATCCTCCAAACAACTAGGTCCTTGAAGCTTAAACTCTCCATGGGCGGGGTGGTGGTGGAGGAAATCCAAACTTTTGAGGGGAACAGACATCAATACAAATTATTTCCAGCTCCCTTATTTACATTTTGTCAATTCGCCCATCAAACCTAGAGAATTTTTTCTGAGTAGTTTCTTAAGCATAGAACAGGAGGGGATATATCAGCAAATAAGAAGATTTTATTAAAGAACAGCAAATGGCAAGGGCAACTCTTATTGCTTTTCCTAGAGAAATAAACAATGAAGACCAATAAGGTAGCTTTTAACTAGGATAGTAAACAGTGCATTCTGCCTGTTTCCTAACTGAGCCTTTGAACATATTAAAAAAGGATACAGTCCTCTAGCACATGAATAGAAAAAACTGTGGTACGTCCAGACAATGGAATATTATCAAGCTCTAAAAAGAAATGAGCCATCAAGCCATGAGAAGACATGGAAGAAACTCACATGCTTATTACTAAGTGGAAGAGGCCAGTCTGAAAAGGCCACGCACTGCGTGAGTCCAACTGTACGACATTCTGGAAAAGGCAAAACCATGGACGCAGTGAACAGATCAGTGATGCCTGGAGTTAGATGGGAGGGAGGGATGAACAGGCAGAGCACAGAGGATTTTTAGGCAGTGAAACTACTCTGTATGATAATGTAATGGTGGATACATGTCAGTACCTGTCCGAATCCATTAAAATATACAACACAAAGCATGAACCCTAAAATGCAAACTTTGAACTTTGCGTGTTAATAACCTGTCCATGTAGGTTGATTGTAACTCTAGGGGGATGTTGGTAGTGGTGAAACCCGTGGCAGGGAGTAACATGGGAAATCTCTCTACTTTCTACTCAATTTTGCTGTGAACCTTAAACTACTCTAAAAAGTAAAGTCTATTTTTGTAAAAAATGAAGCTAAAAAAAAAAAACATGTATCTTTCACATTGAAGCAAAATAAAAGGTAGAATGTATTAATAAAACCTGCATTAACACATATACCAAAGAGAGTTCATAAGCACACTTTGAGCACTGTAAATGAAACATTTGCAGGACAACAAAGTTTTATTGGTTTTACAAAAGCTTTTAAGAGGACATTAAAATCACCTATTTATAAAAAAGGGAAAACAATTGGAAAATGTTATTAATAGAAGATTAGAATATGTTTGCTTGACCTTTCATATGGTTGTCAAGAAGGAGTTTAAAGGTTTCTTCAATTTAGGTAAATGGACCCTTTATAACAGGCAAGTTATTATGTTACTTAAAGAAATAGATAAAGAATTTTATGAGACAAGGTTCATTTCCAATTATGTTAAACACTAGAAACATTATTAGAACTTTAATTTCATTTAGCCTGGGACCTCTATGTGTATTATAAAGTTTAAATTGGTTCTAAAGATAATGCTTTCCATGATGAAATAAAAAATATTTGACAGTGAATATATTTCTGATTAAATTCCTACTCGTGCTGTACAACAGAAATAAACTGTAAATAAAGGAAATAAAGCTAATTAAAAAAATTCCTTTAAAAACTGACACATCAATAAAGAACTAACATTATGTAAAAATCATAGGATTTTTAAGGATTTGAAGGAAAATCATCTAGAAATCATGAGGTTTACCTGTGATTTGTAAACTGGAATAAGCTGAGACACAAGAACACAAGTCACCTGCATAAGGACATAAAGCCGAGTTCAGGCCCCAGGTCTCCCGATGCCCACCTGTCACCTTTGCCATCACTGAGTAATGAACTTCAAGAGGAAACAGAGGCTAGAAAACCAACTTTCCTTCTTGCCTGCTGTCCACCAGAAAACCCACCCCTCACAGCAGTTTTCTTTTAAAACACATCAGGCTTCAGGCATCTTTTCTTTTATAGATACAACAGCTGAGGTATGATACAGAAGATATCATAGAATAGAAGATACTATTGGACTTGATAAAAATGTCTAATACAGGTTTTTCAATTTCCTTCAAACTAATGTCGCCTCACTTTCTTGAAATGTCCACTCTGGGGTGTTTATATTTCAAAATTACTTAAAAGAAAAAAAAAAAAACACCAAATGATATATATTTTAAAAAAGCCCCAAAACAAACCCCAGACCTGTGTTGGAGATGCCCCATCTGAAGGGCCCAGCAAGGCAGGCGCTGTCCAACCAGCCCAACCTCAAAGCTGCTGGGCGCGGCCGAGCCCCTCACTTACTTCTCAAGCTCCCCATGCTGGGCGCCGGCTGGGTCCTTGGAGGCAGCGTGCTGTGGTAGGGCGGCGTGGTGCTGAAAAGAATGTCGTTGGGCAGGGCTTGGTCAAGGATGGAACTTCGGGAACTGCCAAAGGAGGACCCCCTCCTGTTGCTGCATATGCTCTCATCAGAGAGCGTGCGGTACAGCGACCTCCTTGGAGACAGGTTCCCATAGAACGAAAACTAGGGTTTAAAAAAGACGGGGAAGGGGAAGACATTAAAAACCAGGAAGCATGGAAATTATCCAGTTGTTTCATGTACTATTGTGATAGCTTCTTTGAGTCTTCCCTGTTAGCTCAGGAATGCTAAACCAGGCATGCAAGCCATCAGGGCCAATGCGCCAGGGCTTCGGTGCAGTTATTGAATTTTATGTTTTCCTCCTTTGACATTCTGTGAAATATTATCATGAATTAGACATGCACAGCTTTATTAATTCTGAAATGTTAAATGAAACCTCCATAACCTTATAGCAGTGACAGTTCCTGGAAATATATAAGGTTGCCATTTCAGGCAATAGTTATTCAAAACCACACATAGTGCTGGCTTGATTTTAATTTGAAATGACTATATTTTAATATCAGGCAATTTCTGTAGCAATCAACTACATGTGAAGTTAAATCTAATCTAAATAATAATAAAACTAATTTTGAACACTGAAGCTTTCTAGACCATATAAATAGGTTTAAAATATGGTATCAGTCCAGTAAAATCTTATCGTCCACTTAGTAGTATCACTTGCGAAAGTCTGTAATTGTTGAAAGTCTAGTTATAGCAATGTATCATAATCAGATTTAAAGGAGTCATTAAAATTATATGTATTAAATCAGAGATAGGATAAGGAAAATTCTAAGGAAGCATGCAGTCAACTACTTAAGAAAAGTTAAATAAAATCTGCATTTCCAACTACTTCCTTTGCATACTGAAATACATTCCTTTTACATAAACAATAGTAGAAGCCAGAATGTTCACATCAAACAAGTACAGAAATGGCTATTTACATTTGTGAATGCAGCAAGAAGGCTAAAAATATTCCTATTGTATGTGTTCCTTCCATTCTGTCAAGTCTTCCCCACTGATGAATGGTAACTGGAATGTGTATGAGCTACAAAGTTAAATTTACTATGAAAAGAAGGTGATTTGTCTCAGAAGAAAAAAACATGTCAAGGAGAAGTTCACTCCTACAAAAAGAAAAGCTATTTGCACTCTTTGTGCAACAGTCTGCCTTTGCACCCAAGCATATACAGTACCATATACACGATTTGATACAAGTTAAAAAAAAAAAAAAAGACTCATTATGACTGAGTTCTTAGGGGATTCCCTCTTCACACACAACCAGCAGGTTCTTCAGAACTTGATTACAGGCATGTTAGATTAAAGTGTCTTTGAGGTAGTATCTAATTAGAGTGTTGTTCTAAAAACACCATTAGGTTAATTGCAGCATTGTTTCACTATGGGGAAGACAGAAACACAAAGACTTGCTGTTTACCCTGACCATGGTCAACACCACAATACCTGATTTCTTTTTTCCTTTTCATTTGAAATAAGAGTGAGTGCTGGATTAGGAGTCAAAGACAAGGATTCCATTCCTGACTCTGGCACCAAGTATTATATGGACTTCACATTTCACTATTTGGGGCCTTAGTTACTTGCAAAAAGGGGTGATTGGGCTAAATTGCCTGTAAGTCCCCTTTAATACTTTCATTATTTAGCAAAGTGGTTTAAGGGATTATAATAACAAAACAAAAACTAGTAACAATAATTAATCTAACATTATCAGGGGACTGCTGCACTGTGAATGAAGAAGCTATGCCACTGAACATGGGGTTAGTGTATAAAATTAAAGCACAGCCTTCCCCTGAGACTGCCGCATATCTTTAAATGGCAGCATGCAAGTTCCAATCCTATTTATAATGCCCGACAGGCAGTGTCATGTCTAACTCCAGTCCATTTCTGGAACAGGATTACACACATAAGGAGGGACAGCTTGGAGCAGAGGCTAGAGTTCTGGAACAAAAGTCAGGTGGTGTGAATTTTAACAGCTTCTGTTCACGATCATCAGTTATGTCCAGGGACTGTACTAGGCTCTTCACACCACACCTTACTTCTTACCTTCACTCGAACTTCACCACTCAGGTATTAGGATCTCCTTTTTTCAGACCAGGACACTGAGACCAAAAAGCCAAGGCACCTCCATAAAGCCATGCAGCTAATCATCGCTGGAGCTGGGATGTGAGGGTGAGCCGGCCTGACTTTTAGCTCTATCCAAGATTAGGAAAACCTCCCTTCATACCATCTCCTAGGCTCCCTTGCTTACTGATAAAATAAAAACTGGAAACGGCCAACTATGCACCGAGTTGTTGGTAGGGTCACCAGAGATGATGCACATGGGAGTGCTCTGGAAACTCTAGAGTTTCTTTAGAATTTTTTTTTTTTAGTGTTTCTGGTAACTTCAAAGCTGCACAAAAGTCACTAACCTTCCTTCTCCCCTCTTCCACTAAGGGGCTGTCAGGAAGCATCAGTTTCAGAAAGTCTTCTTTTGACAGAACATGTTGAGTTTCTGCAACGGCATCTCCCACCACCGTCTGATGCTGAGTTGCAGTAGATATCACATCCATCTCACTATACATCCTGTTCAAACAAATCAGAATGGAAATTAAGCCTGTATGTAAAGTGCCTGTAGCCGTAAGAATAAAAACCTAGTAACCAGTTTCAACGATCACAAACACATACATACAATTCTGAAGGCAGTTCAATTTTACTTCATTTGTTCCAAATCCCGTGCTGTTTCACATTTGTGAAATGAGCTCAACTACAAAGTTAGATTTCTGAATAATTCAGGAACACGTCAGATCCCCAAAGCCCAGGATGAAAAAAATATATATATAGCCAACTTTTAAAATAAGGCTGTTTTCCCTTTCCAAATCTGTGTCAGAAAACACAGTTTCAATAATTCATCAGAGATTATCATACGTCTTTTGAAGCAACCCTTGTACTTCTCAGAAACTTGAGAGCGCCTCTCTCTTGAGGCTGGACAACCAGATCCCCGATCACACCCAGGCAGCAGAAAGAAAGTCACCCGAGGGAGCTTGGGGTTTAGGAGTAATCAATTCCGGCATGTGCCAAGCATGTTTTATTATCAGCAATTTCACAAAGCTGTTTGGATAAATAAAGCAGCTGTCTCCCTTAATTATCAGTATATAAAAATGTATTTATAGACAACAAAAGACTGTCAAACTGAATTACTGTTTTCAGCTCCTTTACACGGAGAAAACCGGGGTGTCATTTGAAAAAGGTTTATTCTGAAATGCTATCTGAGCAACCAAACATTCCTGAAGACACAGTAAATAATCACGGCTGTATTGTTAGTGGACGCAAATAAGTCTTTGCCACACGACTTGAAACATAACACTCCAGGAAGTCACGGCCCACGACAGCAGCAAGCTACAGAGAGTGACCAGAATGCTACTGTCCTGTGCCTCTGAGGTGACTCTTTTTTTCCTTTTCGTGGTTTTTTAATTTGTTATTCCCAAATATTACAGGGGTACAAACGTTTTGGTTACATGAATTGCTTTTGTGCAGTGTGAGTCAAAGTTATAAGTGTGCCCATCACCCAGATAGTGTGCATTGTACCCGTTAGGTGTGAATTCACCACACTCGCATTCAAATGTTTACTGCAGCACAATTCACAATTGCAAAGATGTGGAATCAACTCAAGTGCCCATCAATACACGAGTGGATTAATAAAATGTGGTATATGTATACCATGGAGTACTAGTCAGCCATAAAAAATGGTGAAATAATACCTTTTGTAACAACCTGGATGTAACTGGAGACCATTCTTCTAAGTAAGATATTGCAAGAATGGAAAAACAAACACCACAAGTACCCTCTATTAAATTGGAACTAAACATTCAACATTCATGTGCACACATGGAGGTAAAACTCAATGGAAACCAAGCAGGTAGGGGGGACGGGTGAGATGACTCTTTAATTTCGAAAGCAAGGCTATCTTGTCACAGTATGACAGCTCACTGGGAAATTATTAGAGTAAGAAACCTACATAGACACGCTCAATATTAGGAATGATTTATCTAAAAACCTTTATGGCTTTTGCTTTGTTGCTAAGGTAGGGCAGGTTTCCCTGTACCTCTCACTTCTGGAAGCACAAGCTACACTGACAACATGAACTAACAAGGCTGTGAAAAAGAAGCTTTTCAAAACTTTTAGAAGATGATTGAAGATTTGGTTGGTTTGAGGGATGGCATGACATGAAAATGGGAGTTACAAGAAGAACCCAAGACCCAGGGGGGTCTTTGCACAAAAGCCAGATAAGGAAAACAGCAATGTAGTTTTTATGAAGAGTGCATCCAGGAAGTACCCAACTTTTGATTCCGAGAGTTGGAGTTGGGAGGTACTCAAGAGCTCTAGGCCCCACTTACTCTGAGGAAAGATGTGGGGGGCGGAGAGGGGGATGGGTAAACAACAACAAAAAACCCAGTTTTTACCAATAACTGAATAGATAAAAATATTATACCTATAATTATGATTACAATGTGCTGTTCTAGTTTCTATATGTGTTTGAATATAAATCACTAGCTTTCTCTTCTAAATTAGTAATTTTTTAAAAACTTGTCCAGTGATATATCATAAATATTCTCTGAGGGTTTACCATGTGCTGGTTACTGTGGATCAGAGGTAAGTAGGACATGGGGCTCAGAACAGGTGAGCGGACCCCCAGCCTGGGGGGCGGGGGGTGGTGTTGTGTTTGCAGTGTGTGTGTATGTGCCTGTCTGTTCCTACATGTGTGCACAGCAGGCACGGATGACCAGTTGAGTGGGAAGTCACTGTGGAAAGTGCTGGGCTAGAGGTTGTAGGGAAGAGCCGCCTTTGGGAGGGTACTGACAGGCTCAGAAGCTCAGGCAGGGCATTTAGGCAGAGGGAACAGCATAAATGGCAACACAGAAGCTTCAGACAGAACTGCTCATTTGTTTTAACTATTTTAAAATGTTAAGATTATATTAGTAACAAAAATAATTAGTAAGGCTCTACAATGTTACTTTAAAGCAGTAACTGGCCTATGTGAAACTTCTCCTGGAGAGCACAGGTGATTTTCTATTTTGTGCACTATGTTCCCTAATTCTCAGTGGCACAAACATGCCAGACTTGGCTGATAGTTTTCTAAGCATATCTTTCAGTGACCTGGTACAACACTGTTTTGACAAAACTTCAAATATAGTCAGTGTAATCCTGTATGAGCGCCTTGCCTTACACAAACTTTGTGCTGCTGGCAGGGCCTAGGATGCCTGCCCCACCCGACAGAATGAGCTAACAAAACCACTAGGAGCCCTGGTCTCAAATCCCAGCACTAGCCTCTTGTGATAACCACTTTGAGCTCAAATCCTCCCCATAAAATGAGAGTTAGGACTGAAGGACTTCTATAGCCCCTTCTCTTTGAGGTCTGCCCAAGACATGTGTGGGGGCTGCCACCTACCCGTCCCTGCACCACAGGGGCCAGCCAGAGTCTCCAGATGAGAGGCTCCCACAGGGACCCACTCTGAGTCTTCTCTGGCATGCACACAAACTGTCACCCAGGGACGCAAACCTCTTTCTCACAACATTTCCAATATTATCTCTCTTTCACTGAACGTCAGTGCCATCGAACCAGTAAGTGGAAATGCACAAACTCTGGGCTTTTTGGCATGAGAACTGTCCAAATGGGATCCTTTCACGCTTTCCTGATTCTCCCAGGAAGCCTCTGCCTAAACATAGTGCTTATGGCAACATACAAAATGCTTCTAAAAAATATTTCATAGAACTTAAAAAAGGCTTGGAATGAATTTCTGTGAAGCACTCAGAAGACTTATTAGTCAGAAGCACCAATGTCTCATTCTAACATTTGCATTTATAATAAAAAGGTGTAGTTATCACTATAAAATTCCTGCCTAAAGAAGTCCTTGCAATTACTGACACGATTTTTTTACCAAAAAGATTCCATGTTTAATTTTAGTACTGAAATGATTTTTAATTTAGAAGGCATTATCATGCAAGATATATTTTAGACATGGGATCATTTTTTAAGAGAAAAAAGTGATACTAGTTCACCGATCCAGCTTAAAAATCTAGACGATTTCTCTGGAGAGTCTTCACAGCACTAACGCATGTGTGTGCAATCACCACATGCCCGATGACACTGCCACATGCAGGTGCAGCAAAACACAGGGACCTGATAATTTAGCACAAGTTGTTTGTTAACCTTTAAAAAATAAGCGAACCAACTGCTAGAGAGCCCTGAGCATCCCTGCTCTGCATCCTTGAAATGCGATTCCTGTACTTGTCTCCTCACAGGGGCATCCGCATAGTTTTCACAAATGTTATAAAATGGGTTATCAGTATTTTTTCTTCTTTTCTTTCAAACCTTACCCTCACAAAACCTAATCCTTCCCCTACCTTATCCTCACAAAAACCTAACAACTGAAAGGGAAATCAGAAGTCATGCTAAAATTAGGTAAAATACTTTTGTCACGTCACTTACATAGCGACTTTAAGAAACGCACTGACTCTGTGGGAATTCAAACTGCCCTTGACCTTGTGTCTTTACAGCGACTCTATGTTCACACTGTCAGTAGCACATTACCATGACTTTTCTACTGCAGGTAGCTTTTTGAATATAAAAACAAAGAACACAGATTTCACTTTTTATGTAAAAATCAAAGAAAGAGAAGACATAGGGAAATATAAACATCAACATTTAAAGAGTTTAAAAAAGAGATTTTTAGATTATTCTTTTTTGGAAAACATATTTCCCCTCGGGGGGGGCGGAGTGCATTTACTCAGTCAATCCCCACAGTGAACGGTGTTGCCCAGGAAAGAACAGCCAGCCACTTACCCAGGGCACTCAGCCACTTCAGGCTCCTCGGGAGGTGGGCTGCCTTCCGATTTCTTCCAGCCAATGACATATTTGTTCACTGCCCCTTGTCTGTGGTAGGGCTTTGACACAGATCCAGGAACCTGTTGACTGCTACTGTGAGACACGATGTAGACTTTGGATGTATCCAGAGACCCACTATTTTTTGAACAATGAGCCGAAGGGCTTCCTGAATGGTGAGAACCACTGAGGAGAAAAGCAGACAAAAGCTGTAACGCAATCAGAGTTCAGCAGTGCTGGCACACGGCCAAATTCAGAGCCACATGGCTTTACTTGGGTCCTTCTATGAGAGCAAAATCAGGCACAGTGAGGCAGATGTAGCCTTTTTTCTACCATGCGGCTTGCCAGAAAGCCTCATTTTACGGAGGCTATGGTTGCTCCCATGTGTGAGTTGTGTGCCTGTGGCAGGAAGGATGTTAAAAACATCACTGGGGAAATCTAATAGAAAAATAGGCAACATACTTAAACTGGTGCTTCAAAAAGAAGAAACTCAAATGGTGAATATCTTTACCGTAAAAGGTGCTCAAGCTCAGCTGTGAGCAGGGAAATGCCAAAGCAAACTGTAATGGAATACCATTACATGCTCACCTGACAGATGAACACTGGAACGTCTGACAATACCTAGTGACCCAGCGTTAGCAAGAACCTAGAGCAGTGGGTTCTCTCCTACTGTTGGTGGGAGTAAAAGGTTTATAAAACAGTTTAAGCATTACCTATGAAGGTGCGTGCACCTGCAGAGCACATGACCCAGCAATTCTGCTCCCAAGTGTATACACTCAATAAACCCCTGCACATGTACAACTGGAAACATGGAACAATGTTGATTAGAAGCACTGATCTTAATAACTCCCCAATGGCAGAAACCCAAGTCATCACCAGTAAAAGGATATTCAATTAATAAGTATGAACAAATACATGGAATACTCTATGAATGAATGAACTGAGGTTACAGACAACTCGGGCAACCTCATGGACACAATGTAGAGAAGAAGCAAGTCACAAAGAATATGATGATCATGAGTCAATTTTTTAATAAAGTTCATAAACAGGCAAAACTAAACAACATGTTGTTCAGGAAAATATAAAGAAAACAAGGGGATGATTATCACAAAATCCAGGTTGGTGGCTACCTCAAGGGAGAAGAGAAGGGGTTGTAACTGGGTAGGATGCAGAGAGCTTCCATACACAGCAATGTTCTAGTCCTTAACCTGGTGGTAGTTACATGGGTGTTTGCTGCATTATCATATGATACAACAGCAACAAGACTGAAACAGACAAAATCCCTAAAAACAAAAATTTTAAAGGTTAGTGGTTAAGCTAAGGCCAGAGGGAGGAATTAAGTGGACAGCATGACAACTGCTAGAAATATATTTAGAAAGCTAAGTACCTTTTTTAAATCAGAAAGATCAACCATATAATGTTTTATAAAAATGAGTATAAGTAGAGATTAGAAATTACTTTCATATTTATAACATGAAAAACTTTAAGTGTTAAAGTTACAATTCTAATGTCAGAGTTCGGAAAGGTAGATGGGTTTTACCTGCAGAAAACTTAACACTTGAGTGCAACCCAAGTATTCCGGGTCCCAGAGCCAGCTTTGTCACTTACCACTGCAAGACTCTGGGCAAGTTTATTAACCTGAGTTTTCTCATCTGTAAAATGGGGTTAATAACAGTATCTACCTCAGAGAGTTGCTCTGAAGATTATCTGAATTAATATTAGTGAAGCACTTGGAACAGTGAATAGCATAGAGTAAATACTATATAAACGTAGTTAGTTTTTAGAAAGTGACCTGTGAAAGCACTAGGAGTCCTTTCTATTTCGAATTTAATACAGGGCTTCTCAGGGAACAAGCTCCTCTGGTATGCTGAAATATCTTATTCTGAAACCCCTGCGGAGTACATACCTTTTCTGAAAAACCTATGAATAAAGCAAGTATCATAGAAGACAAAAACTATAAAAAGAATGATATTAAAATGGGCTTTTTATAGAGGCTCAAGAGGAAGTAACAATAAACTGACCCTTTTTCGGGTCTCTGCATTTTCCAAAACACTGTGGTATTTAAGGATTAAACAAACAAAACAGCTCATCTATTCCATGATGTACCTTAGTTGCTGGTGGCCAGTCTGGTGTCCCTGAACACGACTAGAGGCTCACTCCCTCTGGGCCCTAACTGTGCAGTCCTGCCTTCCTAGCCACATCCACAAGTGTGAAGAAACACTAGGTTGGCAGAACAGTAAAGTAACATGTCCAAGGTGACCCAAGGAATAAAGCAAGCTATAGAGAGGCACTCAGGGGAGCTGATGAACTCTTTCCATTTACTGGGGTGCACACCAGTTAGCAAACTCCTAACGTGAAAGCCCCATATCTAGATAACGGGCTCTGAAGGCCTATATATTGTTTTCTCAAGTTTATTTGGAAATATTTCAGATCTATAGAAAAGGTACAGAAGAGTAGAATAAACATCCGTATACCTTTCATCTAGATCCACTAACTGGTACTATCTTGCACCTCTACATATATTCCTCTTTGAACCATTTGAGAATTAGTTGCAAACATGTAAGATCATACTGTTATATCTCAGCATTTATTTCCTAAGAATAAGGACATCCTCCCACATAATTAACAATGTGATTATCATTTTCAGAAAATCCAACGTTAATATAATACTACTATCTATTAACAATATACAGTTCATATGCCAGTCTCCCAATTGTCCCAATAATGCTTATGGCCGTAGTTTCCCCACTGAAAACCCAATGAAGGACTATGCACTGCCCTTAGCTACCTGTGTGCATCACGTATTTCAAAGCCTTTGATAACTTCTGAGATGTTTTATAGTTAAAGGATGGGGTACCCAAAGTTGTGGTAAAGTTAATATGCTGCATTTGTGTAGGTTACTCACATTGCTCCCCTGAAATTACCAAATTGTATACCTTTTTGAAAATGTTTAGTGAATGACAGCATGATCACAAACTTTATTATTTTTCCATTTGTGTTATAAAAAATAGTTTTCTAAATTACACTTGAGTAAAAATGTCTTTATCCCAACAGTAAAATAATTTAAAGTTAACTTTAAGAACAATGTACTGAATCCATTTGATGAGTAATATATAGCACAAATTGGCTTAGTAGCAGGAACATCATTACAGAAGTTTTCTCTGAAGCTAGTAAACATTTTAAGAATGTTGGCAACAAACTTTTCATGAATCCTTTCCTTCTAGACTAACACTCTTATGAGAGTTATATTGCCAACTTCTAATCATTTGTACTAGGAGAACGGTACGGTGACATGTATAATAATAAACAACAGGTAATCACATGAGCCATTTACAGGAGAATCCAGAACATGGGTGTTTTGTTTTGTTTTGTTTTGCTGTGCAGTTGATTTATTTCACTTTGCAAAATCTCGGTTAGGCTCACATGAATACTGCCTTGTATTCTGAGCTCTTATCTAAGTGCTCTGTCCTCAAAGAAAGAAAAAAAAGTGTTTGCTGAATTTTAAGAACTGAGTAGCAGGAGAAAGCAGGCTAGATATACGCTTGTCCTGCTTAATGGATGATTCCTGTCCCCTGCACTCCTTTTCCTAAAGCTTGTCTTAAAGAGTTTTAAGTCCTCCCTTCGCCTCTTTAGTACAATCCTGGAATCAAGCCATATACACAATTTCGTACTTACTTCGCTCCCAGGTGTTTGCCAGGCAGTGTGCATGTGTGTGCCAGGGTGGGAGGGAAGGTGCTGTGGTGTTGGTGGTGAAAAACCAGAATTAGATAATTGAGAGTACAACGTATACTGATCTGGGTTCCTGATACTGTGATTGGGAATGGTTGATCCCATGTTCCTCCTAATTCTCTAGGTTACCCAGGCACTGGTTATTCACTCCATTCCTAAGCATTTATCAAGCATTCTTCCTAGTTCCTTCCTTTATTCAACAAATATCCAGATGCCTGCCATGTGCAACGAACTGTACTAAATGCTGTGGATACAAGTCAACAAGACAGGCCATGACCCCATCAGCTCAAAACATGGATGTTCTTTGAGGGAAGGTAGCAATAGCTACCTTGTTGTGGGAAGAGATACATAATATGCACACACGATTTCAGCTAAGCCTGGGGTGCTATGAAGAAAATAAAACATGGGATAGGGATACAGAGTGCTTGGGGGCAGCGGTGTGACTTTAGCCAGGTGTTCAGCAATGTCAGTTCCTGAAAGTTTATTCCACTTTTCTGTTACTTGGGATACTCCCAGTCACAACCCAGACCCTGGGAAGCAGGCCTCAGCTCCGAGGTGACCACACACCAGTCTGAACCAGGACAGAAGAGGAAAGTATGGGGTGAGGGAGATGCCCTTACAGACATCCATGCCCCAGCTGGGGCCTGGCATTTCAGAGTTTGCAGAATCTCAGAATGACCTGATAGGTTGATTCCTCGTGCTCTAATGAGCCCAGTGCCTTTCAGCTCAGCACACAGAAAACAAGGCAAATATTGTAAATCTTACTCCCTCCTCGTCTCCTGCACAGGTCAGAGGGCAGACAGGAGGAAGCATTAAAAAGATTCCATTCGATAACTGATTCCACACTGAGCAAAAGCTTACAACACAAGTTGAAATGTGGCTTCAAAGTCACTGTCAACTAAGAGTTACAAGGAAAGGGCAGTCATGGTAAAAAAATTCCACTCACTCCACATATATCATTTCCACAATAGCTGTGCCCACATTCAATTTAGAGTGGTGGGAAAAAAGTAAAATCAATCAAATATTCAATCCAGCACTTTTATATATTTTCTAATAGGCTAGTCCATTAGATTAGTGAATGGTTAAGGTATACAAGAAAATCGACTTCAAATGCCTGTAAATATCCCTACCAAATAACAAATGAATGTGCTCTGAAAGCAGTTTCTGCAGAAATTTTACGTAATAATAATACAAAACTTTGTGATGCCAATTGCATTTGTCTAAAAAGGTATCATGAAATCAGCTATTTTACAAATCATCTAAAGCTTTGGATAAGACGTTGGACGGTTATAAAATCCCAAGATGGTTTTTATAAGTACGGCCAATTTTTAACTGTTCCTGAAATTAAGACAGGAATAATTCAGGGAACCAAATTCACTGATAATTCTGAACTATTATTTTAGTTATTAGTACTAAAACTACTTTAAGTTAAATTATTAAACAAATTGGTAAAAAGTAGTAGAAAGGTCTGATTTGAAAATACTGTCCACATTCTGTGCTCCCTTCCGCCCCAGTGGACAGAAGACAGAGTACATGGTAGACATGTATGATTTCTGATGTCTGATATCCACCGCCCCCTCTCCTGGTCCAATAATACTCTGGTTTTCTTCTGGGGAAGTGACTATGTTTGCCCTTCCTCAGCTGCACGGCTTGGATGGGACTGATCACCAGACCCAGGAGAGGGCCTTGACTGTCCTAGGCAATGCTACCTGCTAACCACAGTGATTAAAGCCAAGAACATGTGAGATGTGAGGGGAGGGCAGCAGCTTTGGAGAGGGCAGAGATCTGTCTCTTCTGCAGAAAGTGGAGAAGAACCACTTTCTTCCTGGGGACAGAGAAGCATGAGCAGGGGAGGCTTGCAGGTGCTATAGCTGCTTTTAGCCAAGAAAGGAATGCTGATATTTTGGGGGGCTGTCATGTGGAGCCTAGGGATGGAGGGACCTGGTCTTGGGCAGTAGTACCCTCTGAGCTGCTGGGTCGAGCAGAACCTTGATAGTTCTGGACCTGTTGGTTACATGAGCTCCAATACTACCTTGATTGTGTGAACCAATGAGAGTGGAGTTTTCCTTAATTTGTGATGTAAATATCCGTGAATGATACTCGGTATCCCTTAGCAGTGGCTGGGTGAGGAAGAGGAGAAAGTTCGAGGGAGGACTTTGAAGAGCAGAGCTGAGGGGCACAAAAAGCCTGTCACTGTGACTCCTGCAGGCCTGCCTTGAGCACCATCGGTGGGAGAAACGTTCCATCACGACACTAGGTACCTGGGAGAATACTCCCATTCTTAGTTTATCTGACTCTGTCCTCCAGCATTTAGAAGAGTTCTGGGATAGAATCAGATAGTAACTTGGAGACAAGAAAAAAAAATGACAGTGGGAGTTGGAGTGAATAGTTCTGTCCACAGCCAAACCTGAATAAATATATTTCTTTGCCTAGTCTTTGAAAGTGAAGGCAAGAATCACAAATTAGGAGTTTTAAATCCACTGTAGAGACATGTCAATAAGAGTTTAAAACCATGTATAATGATACATTAAACATCTACACTTGGGACACTTAAAACGCAATTCCTTTACATTTACCTAGTCTTTATTAAATAAACCCCAGCTGCCAGGCTGAACACACTTTCACTGTTACGCAGAAGATCTCAGGTCTCCCCTGCTGTCACGCCACAGGGACAGGGACGTGTCCTCACAGTAGGGAGCCATGTGCTGCTCTCGTGACTTCCTACTGTATTCGGAAGATTAGCGACTTTGCCACCTCTTGTCCAAAATGTATAGGGACAACAGATTGAATTGGGATAGAAACGTAAGTGATTAATATCTCTATTGCCTTCCTACTTTTCAAATTTAAAGAAAAAGGAAAGTAAAATCATACATGACTTCTTAAATGGCAAACTTTCACAATTAGATTGTAGAAACCACTGCTTCCTCTGAAGACAGAGTTAGGGAAACAGTGACAACCTACCTTATATGCTCCACAGCTTGAATTTTAGGCCCCTTCCCCACCCCAGCAGGCAGGACCCAGGTGGCCCCAGCAGGTGCAGCTTGGCAGTGCGGCGAGGCTTACCTGGAATGAGAGGATATCTCGCTGAGGTCGCCCATGCTGCCTTCAGCAGCACTGCTAGCAGAGATGGCGGATGTGTAGCCGTGCATGGTGTACAACTTGGCCGGCTCATCGTCAGGTCCTGAGACGTCGGCAGCGTCAGCCCACTGCTCGGCCCGGCTGTGGATCAGGGACCTGCTGCCCGCCAGGTGCACAGGGCCGAGGATGGTGGTGGGCATGCACGGGGCTGTGTCGATACCACTGTCAGTGGAGGCCCCTTTGATGTAGGTCAGCCCCAGCAATTCAGGGTCTATCAGGTCCCCAGACCCAAAGTGCTTGTCGTCGCTGTTACTAGAGGTGTTGCTGGAGAGTGTATTGCTGCTGGAGTGACTGGAGCAACTTTTATCTCCAATCTTGAAAAGAAAGAGGAACAGAGAATCTTTAAGTGAATCCTGAACTCGGCTGCATCTCACCCCAGCTCACAGGGGATCTCACCCAAACCCTTTCCACTCACTCTTCAAGTGGGCAGTGATAGAATTTCCTTTTTCAAAAACATCCTGGTTGTATGCAGAAGTCCCAAATTCATAATCCCTCCCATAATTTATCTGAAGTTCAATGGGTAATCTTTTGATTCTTTGTTCAATTACTTACACATGAAGCACAAAAGGATGGCCAGTGTCACTAACAAGAAAATAACTGACAAAGGCTATACGAACTGGGAAGGAACATGGAAAATTAATAAAAGGAAGAGAGCAGCTATTTATCAAGAAAATGCTTCTGTGACAAACTATAGTGTCAGCCCTCAGTTTGGGGCAGAAGACTCAGGTCTGAGTCACAATGGTAGGACTTTCTGGTTACTTAACCCTCTCCGTGCTTATAATACTGTGCTTACATGATTCCCATGCAAACCACATAACATATGCAGAAGCACTTTGCAGCTGCAGTACACAATGTAAACACGAGTGCTCTGAGAGACACCTGAGAGTCAAATTATGTCCCAGGGTTAAAGAGATAGGACTCCCTTTAGAGTAAACAGGTCTGAAAAAGAGTCAATGCTTTGGGGTCTCTGGAAGACACAAAGCAAATAGAACAGATGGAATGTCCCTGTCTGTCCAATGTGCTTGTACACACACAGCTTCTCTTCATAGGCTGGGAAAACCAACCAGGTCTGAAGCATCAGCAAAGGGCTTTGGAGTCATGAGAACACGCCACGCCTTGGTTGATTTTAAAGTGGTTCAGCCTTTTCTTTTTTCATTCTACCCTGCCAGATCCTTAAGCAAATCCCACTGACCTTTTCATCCCACACGGATATTCTCATGCCTATGCCCTAACTCTCCTTTTGCTGAAACCACTAAGAGAAAATTGTAAAGATGGATTTAAATAGATACGGTAAGGTTGACTCAAGACAAGGTCATCGTCACAGCGAAGGGAAGAAATGCGGCATGTGTTCACGAATGGACAACTGTAAAGCTGAGGGATGACACATTAAGGAACGGGAAAGGAACGACTTAATTCAGAGCTTATAAATTGTCTTCACCCACAAATTTTCAATAAGCCATGTTAAAATGTGGGTTGTATTTGTCAATAATTGCCAATCCCTGCTTCTGCCTTTAAATGGAAGTTTTGTTTCGCTGAGCTACAGTCTCTCTGGAGACTCATCTCCCAGGGTTTTTTCCAGGGGGAAACAGGCAGCACGTGCCAACGACCCAGAACTACCACGTGGGCGTTGTTCTACCACGACACACCTGGGAGCTGGCTGCTGCTGGGATTGTTATAAATCATCTGACTGTCCAGTGGCTACCTAAGGGCAGAGCTTCCCAGACCACTCACACCACTACACAGTTTCCGCTTCTGTGTTATGCCATCAAGTCGGTAAGTGGTTAATGGATTACACATGGGAACATGATTCAGTAACTACTACAATGGATGTCGAGGATCAAAGGGCTGAGGATATAATCTTAGCTTTGACAATAATTTGCTGTGCGACCTTTCTCTGAGGTCCTTTATAAATCAGGGAGATTGTTTCCTTTTCTAACCTCACCTCTAAGAGCCTGTGAGGTAATGTGCTGTTGAGTATCCCTGGCAAGCACGCTGCTGACCGTGTGCCGAGCTGGACTGGGCCCCCTAAGTGAGCAGCTGGCTTACGGACAAAGGACTTACATGAGAAAGCTTATTGGGGGACTCCTTGCAACTTCCATCTTTCTGCAGTGCTCTTTCTTTATAGGAACTCAGGACTTTGGAAGGTGGGCCATGCCATTTGGTTTCTGTCAGATAAAGAGAAAAGAGTTGAATTTCCAATGTGCAGTGCTAGCAAAAGAGTAAGAAAAACAGGAGCCGAACAAACGGTTTGGTAAAAATGAACAGACTTGGGTTTCTACGACTTTGTGGACTTACCAACAGACGTGTCGCAAAAGTAGACAGAACCACCACCACAAAGTAAATGCTCCATTTCTGCAGGTACCATAACCACAACCAATCATGACCACACCCCCTCCTGCATCAGGAAACCCAGCTGAAACCTCAGCCTGGGGCGCATAGGTGCTCATCAAATGTGGGTTGAATGAATGAACAAGTGATGGGAGAGAAGGGAGCAAGGAGTAGGGAATGGGAGCAGACGAGGTCGATTTCCAGGAGTTCCTCGTTACCTGAGTGTCTGCCTGTTTCCATGGCATCCTCCCTCTCCCTGGCTCCATCACATTCCAGAGGGCCTGAGCCCTGGTGCTCAAGCAGCAGAGGAGACTGGCACCTGGAAGAAGACAGAGCTCGTCCTTGCTCACATGCCACCCACCAGCATGGGCATGGCTTCCAAATGCACCATGCAAGGGAAATCCCCAGTCACAAGCTGCTTTCTGGCAAAGGGAAATGCAAACTCTGCTGGCTGAACCCTGCCAGAGAAGATAAAAGCATCTGGAATTGGGGATCTAGTTTCACCACAGGGTGAATAAAGATGCATGGATGACAGTCATTTACAGATAAAGAAGGTCTGCTGCTCCCAGGGGTTAAAGGACTGTCCAGGATCAGGCAATGTCCATGCAGGCTAAGGAGGAGCTCATTTTATCCTCCTTGTACCTAGTACACATGGCACTGATACATCTTTACTCTAATTTGTTTTAAGAAAAAGAAAATATTAACTTTAGACTATATCCAAGTGGGCTTTGTTTTATGAAAACCCAAAATAGGAAAATATAATTTTACGAGAGATAAACAGAAGAAAACGTATTCACATTACAAAGTGATCCCTATTTACAGAATCCTGCTTATAGATCCTGATTCACAGAAAAAGCCAGGAAAGGTTTTTCCATTTGTACAAAAACAAAAACAAACACACACAACTCCTCTCTTCTTTTAAAATGTAACATAATTTAGAAAAATTACTCGACATACAACTTTCAAGAGCTCCATCTATTACCTAAGGTAAGGAACACATGTAACACAGACTACACATATTTACCTCTAAGCCCAAACCAGAAACGCAGGTTCCAGGGAAAGAAATGGCCCTATACACCTATGGAAGCAGTAACATAAGCATTTCACCACAGTGGAGTCCTTCCCACTGACCGGACATCCTTTCCTCTCAATCAGTGCACCCAGCTCCTTAACTCTACCCGTGGTCTGAGCAGTTCACTCCTTAGGAGAGCACCCCGGAGCCACGCTCACCCTTCTCTTTTCAGAAGTTTTGGCATCAGTCAATTCAGTGTCTTTGTTCACAGGAGTCCTTGGGCTCTGCCCCGAGCTGCTGGCTCCTGGAGACCACATGGGTACTACAAAGGACAGTTCTCAGCTAAGTGTACTGAGGCAACCTCCCAATGCTCCTCAGACAGGAAGCAAACAAAGCCAAATGCTAAACCCGCTTCCCTGATTTTGAGCAGTGTTTCCTCATCAGCAATTTAAGTGACGGTGAAACCTAAGTCCTCAAATCCCTAATTTTCATGTTCAGAAAGCCCTTCCTTATCAAAAAGAAAAAAAATAAGCCGAGAACATAGACAAGTGAGGGCTACCTACATAGAAATAATGAACTTTCTAACATGGACAAGTCACTTATTAAAAGCACGCCTGGCATTTTTATATTCCCCAAATGGCCTCAGGTACAGCAGGCGCACAGTAAATGCTTTTGAGTGAGTCACAGAAACAGCAGTAAGGTAAAAATGAGCAGTACCCGTCGTAGCCCACTTGCGGTCTCCAGGGTCCACTCCCTCCAGGTCCGGGGTCACTGGACGACGACTGGTTGCTGGGCGAGCTTCTGAAAGGTTTACTAGAATCATTAACAGTGCACTGAGCTATCTGCCAAGCATCTTGATCTGGCCTGTTTTGTTTCACAAATAAACTCACTCTGACAATGACAAAGAAAAAGAAAAAACCACACTGCGATGTGAAACAGCATAAATAATGGAAAAATAAACCAAGAATCGGTGATGCCATGGGATATCAGGTGGTTTATGGTTGGCAATTTATCTTAAGAAAGAGATATGGCAGGACAAGCCTTCACCATCTAAAGATTTAAAGCACAGATAATGGTTCCCCCCCATGCACCGTGAACTATGGAAGAACAGAAATATAACCCCTGAGAACACAGAATTACAAAAACGTTACCAATTTCTATTACGCGAAACTTAACGCAAGTCACGTTCTGGTTCTAAACTTAAAACTTATGCAGAGAGAAAAACCTAAATTTGGCAAAACTATTTATTTTCACACATCGCTTAAATGCAATCCTATTTATCTTTTTCCAGACATACAAAAATGAGTACTACTCATGAAAACTCACTTGATGAAGACGTGCTTGCCAAGTTTCCCTTTTGCTACTAGAATCCTGTTTTTTTCCCATAATTTACTTAAATTATAATTGCTTAAATTTACTTTAATTTTAAGTAAATTTTAATTCGATTTACTTAAATTACCTAAATTTACTTAAATAAAGGCGGTTCTGCAGACCCCTTTCCTGTCAGATGTTGTCTGCTGTTTGCTGCCCCTTTCACCAGGGCTACCTATGTATGTTTCTTCAAATATGGAGAGTTTATAAACTCAGCAGACTTGAGTAAGGAGACCCAGAGCCAAGGTGATTCGATGTCAAATGAAAGTAAATTGGAGAAAGCAGAGGATGACCACGTTTCAATCTTACGGATTAATGCTGGTTAATACTTATGTACAGGCTTACTATGCGCCAGACCCAGTTCTAAGCATCTTACGTATACTGAGCCAGTCAATCCTCAGAATGCCCTGATGAGGTCTGTATTGTCACCATGTTTATCTATCAGGTGAGGAAACTGCAGGCATGGACAGGATGAGTACCAGGCCCAAGGTGATGGCACATCAAGGAAGCTAGAACAGTGATTCCAGCCCATGCGGCCTTGCTCCCAGTCCACGATCTGTCAGACCAGAGCCTGACAAGCCATCCTGCAGACATGCTGCATCGCCCTAGGTCTAGGCATCCCTGCATCTAGGGCCCGCCCTGCTATCCTGTCTGCCAACTCGTCATATAACTTAGAGGCCGTGGCATTTCCATGGCCTCTGAGTTATATAAAAGCTAAAATAAAAGGAGTAGGAATTAATAATAACAAAACAAATCCACTATTTTGTTCCTTTAAAATGACCTATGCAAATGAAGCATCCAGAAATTCTCACTGGCTTCTAGTGCTATTGGCTTTCACTTTTAAACAAGTATATTCTTTCATTGAAAAATTAATTTTAAACTCAACTTGCTTTGCTTAAAATGAGACAAAAAAGCAAAGAAGTGGTAATGCACTTAGAATATAAGTACCACTTATATTATGGTGATGGATTTTAACCATTGATTGTTCAGTTTTGTTTTGTTTGTAACTCAAGCCTGTCCACACTTTTCTCGAGGCTCATGCAGAATAGTTTATCTTTTCCAAGATGGTTCAGAAAGCCAGTTGACGGGGTCGGGTGGGAGATGCTGTATTAAGAGGAATAGCCGTGGCCCTGGTGGGCAGGACCTGCGTTTTATCAGTACCACGGTGGGACCAGGACGGGGCCTGACCTTAGGCAACCTTGCATCTTGCCCTGCTACCCGGCCTGCCAACTTGTTATGAACAAGCTAACTTAGAAGTGATTAAGCCAAGGAAAAAGACCTTTCCTACAATTTCAAGTTCCCACCCCAAGTTACACAAGGGCTGTTCTGGAGGAAACAGCACCAGCACTACCTTGTACCATCAGGCAGTTTCCGGTCGAAGGAGGTGCTGCGAGGAATGGCAGCCTGGGCCTGCTGGAGCAGCTGTTGGCACTGTAGTCGGTCGGGCGTTCCAGGGACGGGCGAGGCTCTGGGGAGGGGCTGCAGAGCAGGCGTGGGCACCCGGTGCCATGTGGTGTTCCTCCTGAAGGGAGTCTTGTATTCGCAGGGGGTGCCTTCACTGTCGAGTTTGTATTCCACCATGGGGATGCGGCAGAGCTCTGAACATCCTCTGTGGGGCGGGGCCAAGAAGAGATGGTGAGAGGGAGGCTCACAGTTGAGCCACCAGCATGGCTTGCTCGTTGCGGTGCCCCTCAGCACACGTGATGCTACGTGAGCTCCTTGGGGCTCCCGGTCAACAACACAGAGCAATCCTCCCTAAAGAGTGTCTTACCTATAATAAAACAATATTCTCTTACTATTCAGTTCCTCTCCTGACAGCAATTACTGAGTCCAGGAATTAAAAAGGCTGTTTGTGCCTCTGCCTGGCTGCTGTACAGATGCACACATCATCTACGTTGGTACCTGCTGATATGGCCGAATGGTTATCAAAATGCTCAAACTACCAATAGGTAAGTAGCCACTGCCCCCAGACCCCCACATGCAACTAAAAGGATTAACACCCGGCACAACAGAGGCTCAAGGACTCTGAAGGTTGTTAAATATTTTAAATACATTTCAGGGATAACAAGTATACCTACTGTAATTAGAAATCAAAAGCCCAAAGATATTAAACACCTTGCTCAAGGTGACTCAGCAGGACCAAGACTGGACCTCTGGTCTCCACATCCCTGCCCATGGACCCTAGAAATAAGACAACCCAAACCCATGTCAGTCACTTTCAGGGATGATGGAAATGCTCATTATCTTATTTGTGGTAACTGATACATGTCCCAAAACTCATCCAACTGTAGGCTTTGTATAAATGCAGTTTATTATATATCCATTACACCTTAATAAAGCTGTAAGAAAAATCTTTTTAAATAGGAGAAAAGCTTCCTTCTATCTGACGCTTTATGTTTCAAGAAAGCCTTTGGTCAAATGCAACGTAACTGAAGGCCAATCAACTTAGCAAAAGTACTGGACCATGTCTGAAGCTCTGTAAAACTGACTTTAACCAGAGTGTTTAACATGTTGAAGTTGGTGGATTCTAGCTGGTTTCTCTGTCTGTAGTTCCTTCTTGTTACAAATCCTCTATGAGATTTATCTTCCTGAAAACCTCAATGTCTCCTTATTGCCTTCTGGTCAGACTTCACGTGCCTGTGCCTGGCACTGACTTCCCACCATCCTTCCACAGCCATGTTGCCAACACAGCAGCGGCCAGTGACACGTGGCCTCTGAGCACCTGAAACGGGCTAGTGCCATGGAACAACGGAGTGATTTCATTTTCATTAAATTAAATTTAAAAATCGATATTCGGATTCATTTTTCAAGTATCCTTAGAATGACTTGAGTATGTGAGTCTAATTTTGCAACTATGTATTTTGTGAAATCAAAACACAGCAAGTATTTGGGATGAAAACTTAACATCTGAATTGAGATATGCTATAAGCGTAAAATATACCCCAGAGTTTGAAAACCTAATAGAAAAAATAATAATGTAACCTATCTCACTAATAATTGTTAAATATTTTTGGATGCTAATATTTTGAAGATATTAAAGCTAAAATATATTTGTAAAATAATTTCACCTGTTTCTCTTTACTTCTTTTTAATATGGCTACTGGAAAATTCAAGATGAAATATTTCTATTGGACAGCCCTGCTGCAGAGGAACCTGTTGGTCAATAACCTGGCCTGCCTACCGTTCCCTACCCATATTTTATCTTTCCCAGCTGGCTGGTTCACCCCATGCCCCATTCAGGGCAATCACATCTTACAATTTGGCCCAAATCTCAGTTCAAATCCCATCACCGCCACATGATTTCTCAACTGTGCTAAACAGCACAAAGGCCAGCAAGCCATGGTATAGATTTGAATAAAGGGTGTGTGTGCTCTGCACAGGTACCCTGGGCAGGCAGAGGGTGTGGCCAGAGGAGAGCAGATGGACTTCAGTGGTCACTCATCTCTGCAGGCAGGTGCCTTCTGACACAGCCATAAAACTGTATGCAGCAACCTTGTCCCTGGCTTATGGTGGCCTTGTCTATTTATGATCCAGTATCATGCTTTTGGCTCTGGCTAATTGATAGATATTGCCATTAGGCATTTTATGTATGTATTCTCTCTCTCTAGGTAGTGTGCAAACTTCAAGGACAGACCCAAATGTATCTTTAACCAATATGCACAAATAGAACCAAGAACACTGACCCTGGGTGACAAATAAACTTTAATACATTAAAAATGCTTCACCTATATAATCTGAACAGATATTTTAAATTATAGTTATATAATCAAGAATAGAGTCACATATCACCTTTTCTGAGTCTGAAGAAAGTGAAAAACGCAATTAGTAAAATCCATCACAGTCCAGGGAAAACCTGAGTGTCCATCATGTCAAAGACAGGTATGCTTTTTAGTCACCACAGTCACTCTATTAAACTGGAGGCAGAGCTTCCCAAAGGTTACCTCCTAGATACATTTCCCACGTGCTCAAATGATCAGTCAGGCACTTAAGACCCTTTAGCCAGAAAAATATGATTTAAGTCAGATATCTCTTAAGTTTCCCATCAATTACACATCGCAAGAGTACTGTTAACTTGATCAAAGCCAGCCTGCAGAGCCAACTGGTACAGTTGACCAAGGACACAGGAAGGCCAAGTAAGTCTCAAATTTGAGTGTTGGGGTAAATCACCCCAATTGACCATGTTGGTAAAGCAGTCAGCATCCCAAGCCAGTGTCTCTTCCTAAACATTCCAGATTCAACATAAGAAAACCTTCCTAATATTTGCCCTTTGAGAAATCTACTAGAGTAAGGTATCACTCTCTTAAAAAGCAGACTTCCATAGTCAGTATGGCAGAGAAAAACTGTTTCAGCCTCTTTTGAAAATCATCACAAAAGAACAAGGAGAACAAGAAACAAAAACAACCTCAACTGTCAACAGAATTAGAGATACCCGAAACTCTAAAACACAGTAAGAAATGTTGGAAGTAAACGGAAGAAACATCATGGTTTAGTGGAGTAGAAGGCAAAACCCAAGGGTGTGCAGAGGGAAAATCAACAGGAAGGAAGACCATTCCCCTCGCAAGAATCCAAAAAAAGGTACAGGGACAGGAAGTACCTGGCACAGCAGAGGGCCAAGTGAAAGAGAAGGTGTATGGCATGGGGGTTATTTAGAAAGCAGGGGACAAAGAGAAGGTTGGCCCTGGGCCCTGAGGTCCTCATGGCACCTGGCCCAGTCAGGCAGTAACCCCTTTTTTACCTCTGGGGGGCAGAGCAGTGGTCTCTAGAAAACTCAGCAGAAAGGATGCAGACTCAAGGCTGGAGGCACAGAGGAGAGCAGGGATGTACTTGAAAAGGTTGAGTCACAGGCTCCTAGGCAGGATGAAACCCAGCGTCACTTCTTTTTCAAACCCAGACTCACAGTGCTTATCACCCCACATGGACAAAGAACATCATTCTTTAGTGAAAAGACAAGTAGAAGCAAGCCACCCACTCCCTCTGCAGGGAAGCTCACTGACCAATCGGATCCTCAAAGTACGAGAAACTTCTGAAATTTAAAAGCATGATAGCTAAAATTAAAAATAAAAATCCACTGAGACAGCGGGCAGGTAAATGGAGAAACTCTCCCCCAAAAGTTACAGGATAGAGAAACATAAAAAATTGAAGTTCAATTCAAAAAGTCCAAAATCTACCAAAGAGTGGTAACAGAAAGAGAGAAAAAAAGGTGAGGAAAAAATTACTAAGAAATAATACAAGAAAATTTCTAGGACTAAAAGATACATAAGACCAGATAAAAAGGCCCAGGGAATGTCCAGCCCAATGGGTGAAAAAAGATCCATGTGAAGACATATTGTGGCATTCAGACTCCTGGGTTAAAGCAGAGAGCCTAAGTTTCTGAGGATTGGGACATGAAGCGGCTCCCATGCTCCTCAACAGCTGAACTCGGAGGTACCAAATATAATAAAGGTAATGCTTTTAAAATCCTGGGTGAAAGTTATTTCTAACCTGTCAAATCAATAGTATTTGGAGCTTGGGACAGAGAGAGAGAGAAAAAAATATCAAAAACAACATCCTAATTTTTGGCTTGGGAAGGTGAATTCATGATCATGCAACCGTTTAAGAATGCAGGAAGAGTAGACTGACTACATCCTCCGAAAGAGGTACTTATGCCTGTTTACAGAGGATGAGGTAGTGATTTCTTTGTGCACCAGTAAACTTTGGTTCTTATCTTTTATTTTAACTCACTTTTTTCCCCCAAGGTAAAATTCCTCTCATATCTAATTTAAATTACTCTAGATTTACTGAGTTTGATAGTTAAATTGCTGGTCAAATTCAGTAACTCAAAATTTACGTTGGATTGCATTTTTTTCTTTTTTATAAAACGCCAAGGCTCTAAAATTTTTACTTGTGGACTTACTTTGTTTCCAAGTGTTTTTCTATTTAATTAGATACCACATCCCTGGGGCTATTGATTTATCCATATGGCCAACAGCCTAATTAGAAATCAGAAAGGCTGGATATGACAAAAGACACCAAAACATCAAGAAAACCTACTCTTACCTTCTACCCTGATCGATGCTCTAAGCAAGTCACTGGATGCTCAAGTAAACTCCAGGCTTTTCTTGTGTCTCAAAGGTTGCAGCTGCCTGAATAGTGCACGTCAGGGAACCCGTAATTGACTACCACCAAAGTTAAAGGTCCTGGAGTTATATTTTCAATGAAAGGAACATGAACTTTGAATCTTGTGGCTCAAAAGTCTACTTTCCAGTGCTTGTTCAAGTTTATTTGTTTGGGCTTTTAAGAAGAGGAAGGAAAGATGAGGCAGATGGCTGAGTAGTACAGTCTATTTAATTCATGCCCATATATTGTAGTTTGTAATAAGACACTGTAAGTTAGCTTGAGTCTTGGAAGAAAAACATCATACAAATGCATAATCATGACTAACATTTTAAAGAGTGTTGGCAAAAACCTGTGCAATGCATTAAGCTGAGGAGAGAATCAGGGTGGAATTTCATTTTCAACCTCTTCCAGAAAGTAAAATGTGAACGGTATTTTAAATACTAAAAAATGGCATTCTTTGCTCTACTGAAAATTAGCTATTCTCAAAAGAATGGTTTTATCTTAAAAATTTCA